AAATTCCATCAACTTCTTAGAACTTACACCTGCTTACATTCGGCCTGCATTTGACAACTCTGACCCCTACCTACCCCTGATCCATGTGTTTTGCTGGAGAGCACTGAAGGCAAACTGACAAGATCTGCATGTCACGGCAGCTCTTTAAAGACTGGGGCACATGCTACTGTCTGTCTCTATCACTGATACACAGAGTAAGGCAAAAAGTGCCCATATGCTGGCTTCATTCAGTCTCTGAGGGTATACGAACAAGTTCAAAGGAAACAGTGGCTTGCTGCAATCAGATGCTCTGTAATAAGTGTTTGTGGGCACCTATACACATCACAGTGTTTTATCCTTAAATTGAAAAGGTTTATAAAATTTAAACTTGCTTATTTTGGAGCATCATATCAGTGTTTGCACATACTAGGTTTTTTAACTAATTAAGCTTTGGAGCATCGCATCAGTGTTTGCACGTATTAGGTTTTCAAATGAATTAAGCCTGGCCCCCAGCCAGTGCTGCAGGAGAGAAGGATAGTCCTGCACTGCCCCCCTGGCCCAGGGCCCCCCACCCTGTGTCCAGCCACACAGCTGTGAGAGCAGGGAGTCGGTACACAGCACAAGAAAAAAAAGGAAAAAAAAACAGCAGGAATTTGAAAGTGGCAGCAATTTGAAGGGGTGAACTACAAAAAAGTTGCAGCACCACCTGGTGGACAAAGAGGCTCATTATATGTCTTTAAGTGCCTTCATGTTCGCACATACAAAAAACTAGAACTCTTGGTTCCAAAATGATACCTTTTATTAGACCAACTGGAAAATCACAAGAAACTTGTCCTTTTCTGCAAGCTTTCGGGATCAAAGTCCCTTCGTCAGGCTCTGAGAAAAGTATAGATGGTACAAGATGGTAAAAAGTCCCCATAGGTAGGAAATAAACTTCATTTTTGCACAGAAGGAGCTGAAGATGGAAGACTGTCCCTCTGGGTCCATGAGAGTGTCTTTTTGAGCTGTGCTGAGTAGCTCTTTGATGTGTAGATCAGGTACAGTCCTTCCCTGGAGGTGTCAGATGGCAGGCAGGGAGGTAAAAAAATCTTTCTTGTTTTGCAGTGAAGTTTAAAATTTGTGTTTGCACGCAACTAATCCATGGATGCAATGCTTTAATTCCCAGTGAGCCAAACTAAACTGCATCCATGGAGTTTTAGTTTAATGCACCAGAAAGACCTTTAAAGCATCCAGAAATCCTGCTCATGCAAACAGTCATGCGATTGCAGCACAAGAAAGGGCAAAAAACATGGCGTTTACAAATGCCCTGTGTGCCTGCTCTGACATCCTGTAAATAAAAGCAAAACTAAGGCAACTTAACCTCAGTGACCAACAGAGCCCAAAAATCAGTCAATCAATCAGTCTCTCTCTCTCTTTCTCTCTCTCTCTCTGTGGCCTTCAACCTGGTTTTATCTTTTTGGTTGTAAACCCACAGCAATCCATATTGTTTTCTTATAAATGTACCTCCCGCACCATCTAGGTATTTTTTCTCTAAAGGAAATGACCAGCGAAGAATCTTAGATTGCTCTGGTGAGTGTCCATTTCCCCTTCAGATGTTCAGAAGTGGAGGCAGGTAGAGCATCGCAGAAGGCACAGCCTGTAATGTGATAGGTAGTGTTTGCCCACACCCTCGGGTTATGTTTCCTGTCCTTCTGGAGTCCACCCAAAGGCAGCTCTGAAGGCTGCACCTGAAGGCAAAGGACCAGAACACCTGGAAGATTCACAGGGGAACAAATGAGGTGTGAGAATTCATGCTTTATTGTAACTTAAAACAGATTTTATGCATGCTGCCAGCTCCATATCTGTTAGCAAGAGCAGTGCTGAAACACCTTGAATAGAAATCCCCAGTATCACCAGCCTCAGGCATGTAAAGATGGAGAGTTGGACCCTTTCATTGGCAAACACACTGCCATTTTTTTTTATTTGCACTGTCGTCTTTGATGTTTTTGTGTTTTACACCTACGCCTTCAACCATAGGATCTTTTTTATTTAAAGTGTGTCGAGACACTATAGCTGTGAGCTATTCCGAGTATAGTATTCTGATATTCAGACTGCCATCACAAGAGCCTGCAATCAGGCTTCAGTTGTTTAATATACACGATATCATCCATGGGCTTCGTGTCCACTGAGTCCAGCCAGAAAGTGGAGGGGTGAAAAAAATAAGTATTCAGGAACATCAGACAGGCACCTCTCATATAAACACTTCCATAAACTAAACAAGCTTCAGCATCAAAGGGTCTGTATTTCTTTCTCCCTGTGCCTCTGATTGGAGGTTGCGTTCCAGGGCCTCCCTTGGATGGTTGCAAAGCTCCTAATTTCCAACTAAAGTTTATTCACAGCCACTTGTTCTTCAGCCAACTTTATAATTTAGCTGAAATAGCTTTTCTCCCTCCCTGGGGTTTACCTCCTAATGATGTATTTATAGACAGCAGTCCCAGCCCTTCTTACTCAGACTTCATTTTGGTGGGCTGAGCAAGCCTATAAGCACTCCAGTCCCCTGTTCATCTTAGTACACACCTGTTTCAGTTCAAATTAATTTGGCCTCAGCTGAATTCCTGTGTCCAGTTCTGTGTACTGCATTTTAGAAAAACTGGAGAGCATCCAGAGATAAACCACAAAGAGGATAAAGAGATTGGAAAGCAAGCAGCATGAGGCAGGTTGAAGGAAGTAGGCTTGTTTGAAGAAGAGGAGCTCAAGAGGGGGAATGACATGATACCATTTTGCCAATATTTGGAAGGCTGCCATAAAGAAGAAGAAAAAAATGCTGTTCTTCCTTGCCACAGAGGACAAGAGGACAATTGGCTTACACTGCAGTAGTAAAGATTTACAGTAAATCTCAGGGAAAAATTATGAACTGTGAGAACAGTAGGAGAGTAGAACAAACTGCTGAGAGAAATTTTGGGATATCCTTCATAGGAGGCTTTCAAGAAGAGGCTGGGCAGGCATCTGGGATGGTATAGGAAGAGAATGACTACATCTCTGCGGGGGTTTAGACTAAAGGTATAATGCTTCCCTATTAAAATTAATCTTGAAAAGAGAATGATGAGAAGAGAGAACTTTTATTTCAGGCTTTCTTCATTCTCAGTAAAGAAGAAGAACTGCACCAACCTAATTATTTTTCCAGCTTAGCAAGATATCTTTTAAGTTGTTTTTTTTTTCTTAGGCTCTCTTCTCTTGAAATGATTGTGTCTCTTTGCCATTAATCTTAGCCAAGCTGAAGTCTGAGGCCAAACAGTGACACATCTCACATCGCTCTCAAAAGGACATTTTAATTTAGCCACTGGCAGTCACTGGAGAACTTGTATTGTTGCCTTGAACTGGTTGTGTTTTAATTATGGAGTAAGCCTGTATCTCTCCTGAGGTGCAGCGAAGCATATGCATTTTGTTTTATACTTTTGCTATATTACCATCCTGGCCCAATGAGGTAGCAGCTCCTGCCCAGAGCAAAGTTATCTCAGGAGTTAGCAGCACGCATAAAATGTTTGGTTTTTTTAAAATTAAAGTTAAACCAAGAATTCTCACACTTATTCCCTTTGGACATCACCCACTGGTGCTCACAACCTTCAGAGCTGCTTTCGCACTGACTCCAGTGGGAGGAGAAATACAGCCAGATACCATGGGGCAAGGAATATCACGCCCCCTACACCCCACCCCAGATTATTCTTCTGGAGTGCTATCAGATCCTCTTGGTTTTTCTGTGTTTTCCAGGGTAGGGAGGAATCAACATCCTCATTGGTCTGTTGGTTTTAATTAAGAAAACATCCACGTTGTGCAGGAGACGAATATGTTGGAATTCAGCCTGAACGGCTTTGGGGTCACAACCAAAAGAAAAGATGAACAATGTTGGAAGATGGAGAGACCTAGGCTTGTCTAATGTGACCACAACCCTTGTGCTCACTAGGTCCCCGCCACGCTGCGTATGAGTCCTTTGCTCCTCTGGGTTCAGCGAAGGTTCATCCTGCTGCCTTTTGCTGATGCTCACATTCAACCCAGTGCTGGTTCACTGCATGTAAGGGTATATTTGTTTTCAGCTCTGAGCCCTTGTCCATTGATATCCTTCTCAGGCTGGGAATTTCAGCCATTCTTGCCCAGCCACCTGTGTGGACTTGCCCCAGGGCTTACCCCTAGCACAGATGAACAAAACTGAGCACAGCTAAAGTTTGTATCCTTGCACCTTACCACTCCTTGGCATTAGTGAGGCCACCAATGACCTTAACCTGAGCAATACCCCCGTGCCAACCAAGTCCTTCGAACCTTTTCAGGGAAGGGGCTTGTGGTCAGTAGCAACAACTTAGCATCTCTAAAGGGAATCCAGTGCTGTTGTCTCATTGAAAGACAGTGCCTGAAACATGGTGTCATCAGGATTGTGGAGGTAGGAGGTGAGTGTTAAGAGCCCAGAGCGGGTCACACAGCACCAGGGATACCAAAAAGCTTCATAGATTGCTATGGGACGGCACTGGAGCCAAGAACTTAGTGTGTGTCAAAGACACAGTGGATATTGCACCTGTAATGGAGGCAGGATAACTGGGGTGACAAGACAACAGGAAAGGTGCAGACAACCCCAGGCTTCAAGGCTTAAGCCAGTCTGTGTCCGTCAGAGATCACAGTGAGGTATTTACAGGGGATGGGCCATCTCACACCCAGCTGCTATGGAGCATCTTATACTTTCTTCTAAAGCATCCAGTGCTGTCAAAGTTCAAGGCAGGGCATTGGACTGATGGACCACTGCTGTGACCCACTTGGGCATCTCCTATGCCTTCCAGCCCCAAGTTGATGCAATAATATGCAATAATTTAATTGAATGCCAGAGGTGTTTTCTGTTGGGATGCTGTATGCCAGGGGTGTGATGGCTTTCCTGTCTCAGATACCAGTGTTCTGGGGCTAATCTGTGGGAGAGAGGGCATGCATAGAAGTTTCTAATCTCAGAAGCATCTGGGGTTGGGGGGCTGCCCAGCAGTGAGATTTCTCCATGGAAATAACTATGCAGGATCAAAGTGCTAGGGCTGATGAGTTGTCTCCTTGCATATATAGACTGCACTTAACGCTTTGGCTTTGCTTTCTCCTTACATTTTCTGCTTTGATTCATAGGCCTTTTACAGGCATTGGCAGACAAAGCCTTTCAAAGGCGCAGGCGAAGGTAGGAATTACCCCCCTTTCACAGAAGGAGAGATGGAGGCGCAGAGGAGTTCAATGACTTGCCCTAGTCCATTGCATTTGCTGCAGAGTTGTCCTTTCCTGCAGTGAAACAGTAATTAGAAATCCAGTGTTATCACCACCCTTCAGCTAAAGTGCAGGGGCTGACACTGCCCAACTGTCTTTCAGCAAAACAAAGCAGCAGAGGCGGTAGTCCTGACTTATAAGTTAAAAACAAGGGGAAGGATGAGTTTAGAAGTCACCTTTATCCATCACAAAACATCAAAAGAGAGTGAGTGTCCAATGAAAAAAATAAGAAGGAAATCTCTTGTAGGCCACCTCTGAGGGGTAATACCTATTCACTTTCTACCAGTCATGGCAAAAGGCCACTATTGATTAAAAACTGCAATTTTGCTTTGGTATTTCATCCATCCAGACATTATTAGTAGTAAGCACGCTC